GCGAGCCGTTGGCGCGCAAGACCAAGCCGTTGGGACAACCCCGCGGGCTTCGAGCCAGGCGCAGCCGCGCTACAGGTCGCCCCAGCACGAAGCCCAGCTCTGCGCGAGAGCTTCGCTCCGCCCTGGACAAAAACGCCTGAGACCTTCCTCCATATTATTCAGTGCTTGAGGAGCCCAAAAAAGTGACGACAGTTACAGGGTTCCGATGGCCGTCGGCTTACCAACATGGAGGACGGGTCCCATAAGGGAGGAGGAGCCTCCGAGACATTCCTCCCAATTCACTCACAGACGAGGCTCCCGCCTGAGACTTCCTCAAATTCAGGCTGACGAGCCCAAAAGTGACGACAGTTACAAGGTGTTCCGATGACCCGCTCGATTTACCAACATGTCTGCGGGCCCCATAGGGGAGGTGGGCCTACCGCCGAGACTTCCCTCAGAATTAACTCACTAGACAAGGTTCCCGCCTGAGGACTTTCCTCAATTCAGGCTTGAGGAGCCCAAAAGTGACGACAGTTACAGGGTTCCGATGACCCGCTCGGATTACCAACATGATCTGCGGGCCCATAGGGAGGGAGCTCCCGCCTGAGACTTCCTCCCAATTCACTCACAGACGAGGCTCCCGCCTGAGACTTCCTCCATTTTCAGGCATGGGGAGCCCAAAAGTGACGACAGTTACAGGGTTCCGATGACCCGCTCGGATTACCAACATGATCTGCGGGCCCCATAAGGAGGGGGCTCCCGCCTGAGCCTTCCTCAGAATTCACTCACAGACGAGGCTCCCGCCTGAGACTTCCTCCAAATTCAGGCTTGAGGAGCCCAAAAGTGTCGACAGTTACATGATTCCGATGACCCGCTCGGATTACCAACATGATCTGCGGGCCCCATAGGGAGGGAACTCCCGCCTGAGACTTCCTCCCAATTCACTCACAGACGAGGCTCCCGCCTGAGACTTCCTCCATTTTCAGGCCTGGGGAGCTCAAAAGTGACGACAGTTACAGGATTCCGATGACCCGCTCGGATTGCCAACATGATTTGCGGGCCCCATAGGGAGGGGGCTCTCGCCTGAGACTTCCTCACAATTACTCAACGATGATGAGGATGAGGATGATGAGTGGTGGTGAAGATGACTGGTGAAGAGGATGATGATTGATTGTGAGTGGTGGTGGCGATGATGATGTTTGAATGAGGATGATGCCGATGCCGATGATGATGATGATGATGATGATGATGATGATGATGTTCATGAGCGTGTGAGAGAGTGCGAGTGATGATGGTGATGAGTATGTGAGTGACTAAGCATGTGAGAGAGCATCATCGATGATGCTGATGAGGTTGATGATGAGAGAGTGTGAGTGAGTGTGAGTGGGTGTGTGTGTGTTCCTGTTCCTGCGCGGGGTGTCCAGAGAAAACAAGAACCCCACTTTGGATGTGGGGAAAAAAAGGCATAGTTTCCTGCTTCAAAAGCACGAATGTGGATCGAACTGTGAAGCGTCCCAATGGATACGTGCCGGAGCACGACCCAGAGGAAGCGCACGGGAGTGCGTCCCAGTGGATACGTGCCAGAGCACGACCCAGAGGACGCGCACGGGAGTGCGTCCCAGTGGATACGTGCGGGGGCACGACCCACAGGAAGCGCACAGAGTGCGTCCCAGTGGATACGTGCCGGAACACGACCCAGAGGAAGCGCACAGGAGTGCGTCCCAGTGGATACGTGCGGGGGCACGACCCAGAGGAAGCGCACAGGGGTGCGTCCCAGTGGATACGTGCCGAACACGACCCAGAGGAAACGCACAGGGTGCGTCCCAGTGGATACGTGCGGGGGCACGACCCAGAGGAAGGGCACAGGGGTGCGTCCCAGTGGATACGTGCCGGGCCACGACCCAGAGGAAGCGCACAAGAGTGCGTCCCAGTGGATACGTGCGGGGGCACGACCCAGAGGAAGCGCACGGGAGTGCGTCCCAGTGGATACGTGCCGGGGCACGACCCAGAGGAAGCGCACGGGAGTGCGTCCCAGTGGATACGTGCTGGAGCACGACCCAGAGGAAGCGCACAGGGGTGCGTCCCAGTGGATACGTGCCAGGGACACGACCCAGAGGAAGCGCACAAGGGTGCGTCCCAGTGGATACGTGCGGGGGCACGACCCACAGGAAGCGCACAGGGGTGCGTCCCAGTGGATGCGTGCCGGGAATAGCGTTCTGTGAACACGACGAACACAAGTGGCCTACAGTTGGCTCCTCGCAATTCACTCAGAGACGAGGCTCGCGCCTGAGACTTCCTCCAAATTCAGGCCTGAGGAGCCCAAAAACTTCCTTGTTGCGTCCAAAATGTGGCCTGGGAGCTGCGTTCTGGCAGCGCGAGAACCCGAAATTGACGACAGTTACAGGTTTTGGATGACCCGCTCGGATTACCAACATGATCTGCGGGCCCAATAGGGAGTGGGTTCCCGCCTGAGACTTCCTCGCAGTTCACTCACAGACGAGGCTCCCGGCTGAGACTTCCTCCATATTCAGGCTTGACGAGCCCAAAAGTGACGACAGTTACAGGGTTCCGATGACCCGCTCGGATTACCAACATGATCTGCGGGCCCCATAGGGAGGGGGCTCCCGCCTGAAACTTCCTCGCAGTTCACTCACAGACGAGGCTCCCGCCTGAGACTTCCTCCATATTCAGGCTTGAGGAGCCCAAATGTGACGACAGTTACAGGGTTCCGATGACCCGCTCGGATTACCAACATGATCTGCGGGCCCCATAGGGAGGGGGCTCCCGCCTGAGCCTTCCTCAGAATTCACTCACAGACGAGGCTCCCGCCTGAGACTTCCTCCAAATTCAAGCTTGAGGAGCCCAACAGTGACGACAGTTACAAGATCCCGATGACCCGCTCGGATTACCAACGTGATCTGCGGGCCCCATAGGGAGGGAGCTCCCGCCTGAGACTTCCTCCCAATTCACTCACAGACGAGGCTCCCGCCTGAGACTTCCTCCATTTTCAGGCCTGGGGAGCTCAAAAATGACGACAGTTACAGGATTCCGATGACCCGCTCGGATTACCAACATGATCTGCGGGCCCCATAGGGAGGGGGCTCCCGCCTGAGACTTCCGCACAATTTACTCAACGATGATGAGGATGAGGATGATGAGTGGTGGTGAAGATGAGTGGTGAAGAGGATGATGATTGATTGTGAGTGGTGGTGGGCGAGATACGTGGAATGAGGATGATCCGATGCCGAATGATGATGATGATGATCGATACGATGATGATTGTTGATGATGTGATAGGATGGTTGATGATGATGATGATGATGATGATGATGATGATGATGATGATGATGATGTTCATGAGCGTTTGAGAGAGTGCGAGTGATGATGATGATGAGTATGTGAGTGACTAAGCATGTGAGAGAGCATCATCGATGATGCTGATGAGGTTGATGATGAGAGAGTGTGAGTGAGTGTGAGTGGGTGTGTGTGTTCCTGTTCCTGCGCGGGGTGTCCAGAGAAAACAAGAACCCCACTTTGGATGTGGAGAATAATAGTAGCAGCAGTAGTAGTACAAATAGTAATAGCAATCTGAACAGTTGAATTATTTGGGTTCTTGGTATGACTCCGATTCTCCATCTTAGCGTGATGATTAGTATCATTCATCCTCCTCATCATCATCATCATCGTCCCTCCCCCTGTCTTTGGCAAAACCTCGATCATCGATGCTCGATCTCCTGGCACCCCGAGGCCGCAGACGCCCCCCCCTGGCGCCTGTCCTGGCCGCAGGAGGGGGAGGAGGATCGCCCTCGAGCCATCCCGGGCCGCCAGTCGCCACCAGAGGCCGCGGTCCCCCCATCCACCCCCGGTTAGGCAATGATAGGGGGGACTGGCATTGGGGGGCAGAGAATCGCGCTTCACCAACTTCCACAGAAATTGAAAAATCTATTCGCAACAACGCTTGACCCGTTTGATTCCACAGATCAGGTGAACAAATACGATCCGTTTGTGGCTACGGGGGGGGAACATCGGCATGGAATCGGCGATACATCGCCGACAGATTGGCGACAGGCCCCCTCCACAGCGAATCCGCGCGTTGCTGGGCCGCGGGCGGGCTACCTGGCCTCTATCGGCGATGCACGGACGATTGGGGGTCGATGCATTCCCCCCCTGTGCCTGTCCTCTCCTATCGTTCTGCCCCCCACACCCGAGCGGGGAACGCTGGAGGGGGACTGGCTCAGGAGAGTTTTCTGCAGCTTCCGGGAGCTTTCGGGCGGGATCTCGGAAGCCTTCGGGCTGGGTTGTTGGGCGTTCTCGCACGTTCCTGAAGCCTGTCCTGCCTCGAGGTCCGTTTCAGCGGATGCGCCTCGCCAAGAGCGTTCCAGAGGTGCCCGAGTCGTCCCGAAGGGCTGCGGGACAACACGAAAACCGAGCTGGGGGGTCTCAGCGGGGGAACCATCGAGCTGGAATCGGCGATACATCGCCGATAGGTCCGCGAGAGGCCCCCGCCAGCGAATTCGCACACTCCCAGGCGGGGTGGACTTCCTAGCCCCTGTCGGCAATCAATGGGCATTTGGTGGTCGAGGCATCCCCTACGGTGAGGGCGTTGGATAAGGAACCAGTGGATAAGGAACCCAGGGTCTGGAAGCCGGATGGAACTCCAATCGTGGAGCGGCCATGGATACCATCGACACCCTCATCAGACAAGGAATCCTGCAGGGCCTGAAGCCTCCTTGGCACATTCCCTAAGGCACGCCCCCACCGTATCCCCCCTTCGGCTACACGCCAGAGTGCCCCTTGGTACGAGTGACCCTTGGTGTGCGGCTTGTCGGGGGCCGCGCGGGGACCAAACACAAGCGCGCAAGACGCTACCACCGCAACGCGCTCGGCGGTCGGGGGACCCCAGCGGGCCCGCTAGTCGACCCCTGACGTTGACCCTGGTCGGTGCGCGCTCCTGCAGGGGAGCCCCGGCCCCGCGCCCCGGCGGGCCCGCCGGCCCGCAACGCAGGGCCACCCAGCCCCGCCGACGTAGAACCACTTCTGGAGGTCGCCGTCCCACCCGAGGCCGGTGAGCAACTGCCCGGCGAGCAGACGGCGGGTGGAAGGGGGGGGGGGGAGCGTCGGAGGCCTGGAAAGGGACACCAACACCAGCACGCAAGCATGCCAGAACCGGTGGAAGACGATCCTGGAAGTCGGCGCTGGTAGCAAGACGTCGGCCACCCAGGAAGCCAAAAGATTGCCACCATCACCGGGATCGGGAGCGCCTGCCCCCGGTGGAGGCACACCGCCGCGATATCGGTGTTGGCGTCGACCTCCGGGCCTCCCATGGAGTGGAGTGGAGCGGGGGGGGGGGGAGCGGGCGGCCGCGCGCGCAGCGATGGAATGGGCCGGTAGCGTCCCCGTGGCTCTGGAGCGGGGCAGGGTGGCGCCGTCCCACCAGCCCCCTGGGCGTGGGTGGTCTGACGATGCATGTATTTCCTCTTCCAGAGCCCGCTTCCCTTCGGGGAGGGGTACGCTCCCCCCTCCCCTCCCTGAGCTTTTGGGGGAGGGGGCCCGAGGGGTTGGAGCGCCCAAGATGGCTCAAGCTGGCCTCAAGAGGGCCTCCGACACTCCAAAAAATGGCAAAAAATAGCCGAATATCTCTCAAGATGGCTTCCAACATGCTCAAAAAGGCCACAGAGACCCCTCCAAGACGGCCCCAAGTGCTCTCGGAGCCACCCCCGGGACCTCCCCAAGAGGCCGAAATCCATCAAATAATCAAGAACAACGATGCTGTGTGCCTCCTCGACTTTTCGCTTCCGATGCGCTTCTGAGACATCAACATGACTCCAATATGGCCCAAGAGAGCCGCAAAAGGGGCCCAAGAGGCCCTCCAGACGGCCCCAAGAGCGCCCAAACGCCCCAAGAGCGCCCCGAGAGGGCCTGCAAAGACAAACTTGAGGGCCCCAGAAGGGGAGAGGCTCCTCCTCCTCCTCCTCCCTCCTCCGCCTCCGCCTCCTCCTCCTCCCTCCTCCTCCTCTCCTCCGCCCCTCAGTCCTCCTCCTCCGCCTCCTCCTCCTCGCCTCCTCCTCCTCCTCCTCCTCCTCCTCCCGCCTCCTCCTCCTCCTCCTCCTCCTCCCTCCGCCTCCTCCTCCTCCTCCTCCGCTCCTCCGCCTCCTCCTCTCCTCCTCCTCCTCCTCCTCCTCCTCCTCCTCCTCCATTCCGCCTCCCTCCTCCCTCCTCCTCCCTCCTCCTCCTCCCCTTCCTCCTCCATCCTCCGCCTCCTCCTCCCTCCTCCCTCCTCCTCCTCCTCCCTCCGCCTCCTCCCTCCTCCACCTCCTCTCCTCCTCTCCTCTCCTCCTCCTCCTCTTCCTCCTCCTTGTCCGCCTCAGTCCTCGTCCGCCCTCTCCCTCCTCCGCTACCCTCCTCCCCTCCTCCTCCTCCTCCTCCTCCTCCTCCTCCTCATCCTCATCCTCATCATCATCTCCATCACCATCACCATCGTCAAATCACCATCACCATCATCATCGTCGTCCATCATCATCATCATCATCATCATCATCATCATCATCATCATCATCATCATCATCATCATCATCATCATCATCATCATCATCATCATCATCAGCATCATCATCATCATCATCATCATCATCAGCATCAGGATCAGCATCAGCATCATCAGCAGCAGCAGCAGAAGCAGCAGCATCATCATCATCATCATCATCATCATCATCATCATCATCATCATCATCATCATCATCATCGTTGCTAACATCATCATCATCATCATCATCATCATCATCATCATCATCATCATCATCATCATCATAATCATCATCATCATCATAATCATCATCATTTGCAGCAGCAGCAACAACAGCAGCATCATCATACATATCATCATCATCATCATCATCATCATCATCATCATCATCATCATCATCATCACCATCATCACCATGAGCATCATCATCATCAGCGTCCTCATCATCATCAGCGTCCTCATCATCATCAGCGTCCTCATCATCATCGTCGTCATCATCAGCATCATCAGAATCAGCAGCGTCATCATCGGCATCATCATCAGCAGCAACAAGAGCAGCATCATCATCACCATTATCATCAGCAGCAGCAGCATCATCAGGATCATCATCGTCAGCAGCATCATCATCAGCAGCAGCAGCATCTTCTTCCTCCTGTTCCTCCTCCTCCTCCTCCTCGCCCACCCCCGCGGGCCCCAGGGATGGCCCGAAGAGGTCCCGTCAGCTCTCATAGGAAGGATTTCGGAATGGGCTGGTGAGGATACGCGAAGCGCGAAGAAGTAGGCCACTTCCACCACCTGCCCGCCCCAAGCGGCGGGGGGAGGAGGGCGAGAGGGTGGAGAGCGGCGGATGGAGTGCGGAGGGAGGCCGCAGGAGGCAGGAGGGAGCTCCCGCATGAGGAGCGAAGGGGCCATGCTGGCCACGGCCAGACTCGGCAAAGGAACAGGCTCCCCGACCCAGGTCTGAGAAGCGGCCCGGCGACCGAAGCCCCCCTCCTGGGCCCAAAGCGGGCCTTGCCTCAGTCGGCTACACGCAAGAGAAGATAGGCAAGGGATGCCCTGCGGTGCGCGATCTTTTGGGGGCCGCGGGGAGGCCGAATCGGAGCCCGCAAGCCGCTACTATCGCATCGCACTCATCCATCCGGGGACCCAGTGTGCACGCACCAAACAAAGGTCACTCTGGCTAGCCGACTCAGCGCCTTGACCGTACGAGTCGACATGGAGCGTTGCGAAAATGGCCTTGCCTTCGAGGATCAAAGGAGGTGCCAACTCTTCCGCGGCGGGAGGCCGCGGAAGGTCGGCGCAAGGCAGCGGAAGTAAAACGAGGCCGGCTCCGCCGTCGGAAGGCGGCAGACATACAAAGCACGACCCCGAGAGATGAAAACGTTTTTGGGTTTAGGGCTTCCGAAAGTGAGCATTTTCTTTTTCGGCGCTTCGACACTGGGCGGAAGGGGGGAGGAGGGGGAGGGGGGCCTGGCTCCGGACCGCTGCTTAATGCGGCTGTTTGCAGCAGCGCGTCTGATTGGGGGAGATTCTACCTGCCTGAAACAGGCGCCGACAACAACAAAGATCTGCTCCATGGGAGGGAAGGGGGGTACGAGGGCCCGCGCAGATCGGCAAAACAATAAGAAAACGATACTCCTCCTCCTTCTCCTCCTCCTCCTCCTCCTCCTCCTCCTCCTCCTCCTCCTCCTCCTCCTCCTCCTCCTCCTCCTCCTCCTCCTCCTCCTCCTCCTCCTCCTCCTCCTCCTCTCCTCCTCCTCCTCCTCCGCCTCCTGTCGCCGGCGGCCCGTGAGCAAAGCAGATCGCCTCGGCGCTCCGCGGCCCCAGGCCGCCCAACGCCCGCGCAGCCGCCCGCCGGGGGGGCGGCCCGAGGCCCCGCAAAGGAGGCAGCCCTCCTCCTCCTCCTCCGCCTCCTCCTCTTCCCCCTTATCCTCCTCCATCCTCCTCCTCCTCCTCGCTCTTCTTCTTCTTCTTCTCTCCTCCTCCTCCTCTCTCTTCTTCTTCTTCTTCCTCCTCCTCCTCCTCCTCCTCCTCCTCCTCCTCCTCCGCCTTCCTCCTCCGCCTCCTCCGCCTCCTCCTCCTCCTCCTCCTCCTCCTCCTCCTCCTCCTCCTCCTCCGCCTCCTCCTCCTCCTCCTCCTCCCCCTCCTCCTCCCCGTCCTCCTCCTCATCCTCCTCCTCCTTTCCTCCTCCTCGTCCTCCTCCTCCTCCGTGCCGGCGGCGCCGCGGGCTGCTCACCTCGCCTGCAGGAAGGCCCCGAAGTCCGCGCCGGACAGGATCTGCTTCGCCTGCCTGCAGGGCCAAGGAAGAGCCGAGGAGAGCAATTACAATCGTGTCGGGAGGGAGGGCAGGAGCACCAGCAGTCGGAGGCTATGCACGATACCTTCGACCGCCTACGGGTGTAGTAATGGTGTCCCCACTTCTCCCAACCCCGCCCTCCCAACCCGATAATTGCCTTCCTGTGAATCCTCCCAGCCCGATAACTGTCCTCCTGAAGAGCGGCACAAGCCACCACCGGCAGCGCGAGGAGCCGGTGGGTGGGGCCTCCCGGGGTGGTGTGGTCCTCCCTCCCCGCTCGAGGCGTCCCCGGATCCCCCGCTCGGGGAGGCCTCGTGGGCCTCGCGGCGGGAGGTGGCACCCCTGGTGGTAGCTCGGCAGCGAGCCCCGGGAGGGAATGCAGACGGGGCGGGCCCTCTTAAAAGGCTGGGAGGGCACCTGGCCTTCCGAGAAGTTCGAGGCCTCCTAGATGGGGTCCGAGTAGATGGGGTCGAAGGATTGTGCCGCATCGCCAATGCATCGGCGATGCATCGCCGATGCATTGGCGATGCACCGGCGACGTCGGCGATGCACAGGTGACGTCGGCGTGGAGGAAATCGGACTCCACATCGAGCCGCATCGCCGATGCATTGGCGATGCGGCACGATCCTCCGACCCTATCTACTCGGACCCCATCTAGGAGGCCTAGAGAAGTGTTCTGAGCCTTCTCCGAAGACGGAGACGGCTTCTCAGAAGACGGTGGGGCTTCCGAGCAGCCCCGCCGCCTCCTGAGAAGGCTTACTGTACCCCGCCTCGCTTCCCCCTCGGGCTGGCCGCCGAGTGGTGTCGCTCTTCTTCCCTCCGAGCCTGAGGGCGTCCATCTCCTCCATCCGGGCCTCCTCGGAGGGCCCACAAGAACGACACGCCGGCGGGAGCCCGCAGCGGAGAGCGCCAGAGGGGGCACTGGCCTCTTCCGAGGGCAGCGGGCGCTCGGGGCACCGAGAGGGCATGGAACACGATGCGGCAGACCAGGGCTGGACCTAAACGTTGTTTTTCGTTTTGTTTTCGTTGTGTGTTTCGTCTTGCTCTACCTGTTTTCGTGCACCTCCCTGCCAAAACGAGAAACAAAACACAGCCGAAGTCCAGCAAAGCAGCGTTTAGGTCCAGCTCTGCGGCAGACACATACGATAATAAGTCTTGCTGTGGGAAGTGCTGGGGCACATGAAACCCCAAGAGGCCCCCCAGAAGCTCCAGGAGGCCCCCAAGAGGGCCACGAGGGGCCCCCGAGAGGCCTCAACGACACCCCACCACCGCCTCCAAAAGACCTGCGAGAGTCCTCTCAAGAGATCCCCACGGACGTCAGATGTCCCTGTCCTTCAGCCGAGGCACGGTGGTGGGTTGGGCCGAAGGTCACAAGACATTGGGGGTCCTGAGGTGCCCGAGAGCTTCGGCGGGTCCCCGGAGCTGCTGGGGGGTAAGAGGCTTCCGCGGGGCACCTGCTGGCGGGCCGATGTCTCAGCTTGGTGCGCCAACCGCAGACTGGACACAGAGGCACTCTCGGTTTCCGCCGGGCTGCCAGCAGCACCCTTCGGAGGCCTGCGCCGCTTTGAGCTCCTTGGCTCCTGGCGCAGGTCGAAGTTCTTGAGCGTGAAGTCGCAGCTGGAGTGCAGCTGCGCGCCGTAGTCGGCCAGCTCGCCCAGCTCCGTCGTCACGGAGTCCAGGTCCGCCTGCGCCGCGACCAGCCGCTCCTCGGCCTTCGCCTTCTCTTCGGACTTGTTCACGATCGCCTTGCCCTTGGCCTCGATCGAGGCGTTGGTCTCGATCACGAACGCCTGGACCAACAGCAACACAAGAAACAGCATTAATCTTTCGGAGGTCCGCGCGGATCTCCCGGGCCGGCGCTGGAAACCTCCCAACATTGGAGGCCTGGAAATTGGCACCAACACCAGCCCAGGGGGGTGCCTCCACAGGGGGAAGATGATCCTAGATTTCGGTGTTGGTGGCAATATTTCGGCCACACTGGAAGCCAGAATGATACCACCATCACCGAGATCGGGATCGTCTTCCCTAGGTGGAGGCACTCCGCCGATCTTGGTGTTGGTGTCAACCTCTAGGCCTGCGACAACAGCCCTGGCGGCGCCTCAAAGCGCCGCCAGGAAGGGGTGCAGGGGTGCAGGGAGCGGGGCCAGCACACAAACTCATGACACCAGCGCGGGCCTCCGAAAAGTTGCGTGCTTCTTTTTAACGCTTGTTGAAATTATTGTTGTTTCTGCTCTGTGGTCTGTGCTCGAGCGCCTCGTACGCCTTTTGCATGTCCTCCTCGGCGCGGACGGTCTCGTCCTCCATCGCCTTCGCGTCGGAGGCGATCTGCGAGATGAGGGCCATCACGCCGCTGCTGCCGGCCGACTTCTTGTACTCCTCGAAGCCAGGCGGTGGCGCGAAGCCCTCGGGCGCCTGCCGCTGCAGCAGGGCGGCCTGCTTTCCGTAGAACCCCTCCAGGGCGACCAGCGCCTTCTTCAGGATCTGCTGCGTGGCCCGCTGGTCTGCCACCGTGACCTGGAACTCGGCATTTTCCTTCTCGCGAGTCTCGCCAGCGCGCTTCATCTGCAGCTCCATCTCCGCGATCTCTGCCTTGAGGGTGTCGATGTCCTCCGTGAGGTGTTTGATCGTGGTTTCCAGCTGGGCGATCTTGGCCTCGAGGTCCTGCTTCTCCATCGTCTTCTTCTCGGTCTGGAGCCCGTTCTCGTTGAGCTCCGCAACGCAGAAATCCTTGTGCTTGACCTCTGCCGCCTGTTGCTCCTGGAGCGCCGACAGCATGTCGTCGATCGCCTTCTTCACCTCTCCGCGGCGCGCCCAGGGGGGGGGGGAGGCAGAGGGGACGGGCCTTCTCAGAAGGCTCAGCAGGCCTCCGGCCTCCTGAGAAGCCCTCCAAGCCTTGCCCGAAGACCGGGCCTTCTCCGAAGCCCCACCGCCTGCTGAGAAGGCATGACCCCTCGAAGATCCTCGTCCTCTAATGTTCGGAAGTCGGAACTCGGAACTGGGACCTGCGGAGTGCACGCCAGCGGGGGCGTTGCAGGCGGGCGCCGTGGTGCCGAGATAAAAGCTGCGGCAGTCTCTGCGCACTGGCCACCGGGGATAATGCGAACGAAAGGGGAGGGAGAGGGACGCGCGACAAGCGGGCACGGGAGGCGAGGCCGAGGAGAAGAGGGAGGGACGAACGACAAGAGGGACGACGAAGGAAACGCACGCGAGCGAAACAAACCGAACGGCGAGACGATAGGGATCGTTGCGTCATCCACTAACAAATTTGCCCACAAGCGTTCTTCATAGGACTGTCGTAGCAATATCAAGCAACTCGCATTCAGCACAACTTGGTTCGGATGAAATCAAATCTCTCAGATCATCGGGCCACCGCTTGTTCGGGCGCCACGGGCGTCGGCGAGCATCGCAATCGATGTCTACCTCCGGATTCCAAAGCAGTGCTCGCGCCGCCCAATGGCTGTCTGATAGAAGAACCTTACAAGCGCATGTCCACTTCCGTTGTCGCTGCATCGATACCCAGTCGTCCACTTGTAGCCGCGCAAGAACTTACTATGCTTTCCTTGTTGCTCTGCGAATACATTCCGCCCACAGTTCCAAACCGTCGTCGTCGCACTCTGGTACTGGTTGGTCTGGAATCAACTCTTCGTCAACCAGAACTGCTGGATTGTCATTGGATTCAGGACAGCCGTCGCGGTGGTTAAATGCTGCTTCACGCCGTCGCGGCGTTTGCAAAATCATGCGCAACATTTGCCTCTGCACCCTGCGCAGTCGGTTCTCCATGGTAGCTGACATTGTCCGAGCTTCACAACCAAATAATACCGAGGGAGTAACTGTACCGTGAATAAGCCCTGTCCTGCTGTTGAATGAGTAGCGTTTCTTCCCCATCAGTTCTGCCCGTTGCGCAAAGAATGTTCGCCAACCTGCGGAGGTTCGGTTCTCTAGCTCCGCAGCGCGAAAGTCACTGAATTGGAATTTCTGGCCCAAATATTTCGTTGATTTGTAGGTGGGTAAAACTTCGACGGACATGCAACCGCATGGTTCGGCATCCTGCGTCTGCGTAGCCACTGGTACCCATTATGCAGAATATTCGTTCTGTCTGGGTGTGGAAGACCTGATGTCGCAGCCTCAACGCTGAGGTCACAAAACATGGCCATGATGCGCTCCAGCGAGCCTGTCAGTAGCATGATGTCGTCAGCCAAGCAAAGGTTAGTGAGTCGTTCATGGCTGCAACGGGATTCCCATCTTTGTGTGTAGAAAGTTCTGCTTGACTCTGCGCATGATGCTCTCGGTGGTGCTGTTGAACAAGCCCCACTCGATGTCGAAGATATTGCTGCATTTATCTGCTCGGAAAGACGCAGATTGTCCGCTGTACAAGTCTGCAAGCAGGTGCACGCATGCAGGTAGCGTACCCTGCTGGAGAAAGGAGTCCCAGATACTCTGGTGAGAAGCGCTGTCGAACGCTTTTTGAAATCGACCGCCGCGGTCCAAACAGGCAGGGTCCACTCGTCGGCCATTTCTTGGACCTGCGTGAGAATGAACAGGTGGTCCGTCGTACTGCAGTTGGGTCGACATCCTGCTTGGTCTTTGCTCTGTTGAGGATCGAGGATTGGGAGCAATCGGCTATAGAGCAAACGACAGAACAGCTTAGATAACATAGATATCGCCGCAATTGGTGCAGTTTTGAAGGAGCTGTGGGCCACCTCTTGTGTCCAAGTCCTTGATCACAGTACGCTTCCAACTCTGAGGCGGTGTACAGTTGGGGCTTAGACTTCCGCTGAACAAATCAAGCAAGATATGCTTCAGGGCTTTGCCGCCTGATTTGAGCATCTCTGCAACGATGCCCTCGGCATCAGCAGCTTCGTTCGTCTTGAGCCCTTTTCAGGGCGCATTCAGTTTCAGAGACAGTGAAAACTGGAATTGGCGAGTCGGTGACAGTCGTTGTCGCGCGGGTTTTCCTGCGGGCGTCTTGATACAACTGTTCGTAGAACCATGCGAAGACATGTGCTATGGATTGTCTGTCGTTCTGCGCATACCCCTCTTGGTAAAAGATGGTGGTGGTGAACTATTTATGCTTGTACGTTCTGGTCCCACTGATCTTCTTCAGCTCCTTGGATTGCGTCAAGATGCGGTCAGCTTGAACTCTCTGCGTGGCCCGCCGAATGGCCTGGATATCTTTCTTGACCGCGTTGTTCAATTGTCGTCGCTATGTGGCGTCCGTCGGCGAAGATGCTCGTCTGTCGCGCAATAGGTCAGTTAAGCGTTGTGTAGTTCGTTGCTGTCTCCTGCTAGTCATCGGTCCAGTTGGTGACTGTGATTATGCCATGGTTACTTCGATCGCGTCCTCGAGCTCTTCGCACTTGAGCTTAAGTCGGAGACCTAGTAACATGTGATACAATGTGTCTGTCAACACTGTCTCATACTGTGATACATCGCCCGGTGGCCACTTGAGCGTGGATTGTTGCACCTTTCGCTTTGTTTATCGTTGCGCCGTCGGCGTCGGCATTCTCACAATCGCCAGAATGGTCTTGTGGTGAAACCCCATATCGACATCAGCGATTGACTCGCAATCGCGGGCTTCAATCCATACCCTCTTGTTGACATAGAAATAATCGGTCTGTTTTCGAACACGTTGTGGGGATGTATATGTATAGAGTTGCTCAGGCTCTTTGCGGAACCATGGGTTCAAAAGCCGTATCCGGTGCTGGGCAGCCGATTATTTGAGCCACTGGCCGCGCACATTCGTATCAAATATGCCGTGCGGCCCGATGGATTTTATGGTCGTCGTCGTCCGTGGCCTTTCCAACCCTGGCGTTGCAGTCTGCACCAACGATAAACATGCATCGTGTCGTCGTAGCCTCCCTGTGTAAGTTTTCGAGAGCATCATACATCGTCTGGACATGATTGACCGCGTAGCCCCCGTGCGGAAATACGAACTCACCAATCTCAATTTGAATCCGCCTCGTCGCACGTCGATGCATACTATTAATTCGTTGATTTGTTTGACAAGTCGCATTGACTGCAACCACCGCTGGTGATAAAATAATCCACACACACACACCACGGCTCGTAGTGCTGTTCCCTGACACCACAAAAGCATGACCATCCCTTGATATCCAAAACTCCTCCTGTGAATCCCTCCACGTCTCATTTACCGTCACAAAGTCCCATTCCGTGCTTTGCAATTCCTCGAACAGCTGCAAAACGCGCTCTGCCGTCGTGCGTCCACGCACGCTTTTGTGTAGCGCCGTAAACTGCATAGGCAATGTTGGTAGCGACCCTGGATCGGTCAACGGCCCTGGAGGTCCTGACGATGATGTCAGAACATCCTACCGGGGTGTAGCCTCGGTCGCGGAGATAATGCTCTCTGGGACGGCATCGTCACGCGAATCCTGCCGGGAAGGCCGGAGAGCAGCCGCAGGATACTCCTCATAATTCGTGCTGGAGGCAGGATGTGAAAGATGAGGTGTGGGAAGCAGGCGAGCTGACATGGAAGGGTACGGCTGGGTCGAAACTGTCTGGAGGTGGTGGTCGGCATCGTAAGCTGGAATCGGAGAGATAGGTCCCCGCCTGAGGGGTGAAGTCCGCGTCGCTGGCGTAGTCGCTGTATCCGCCGGTGGTGAGACGCAAGGTTGTTCAGCACAAGCATGCGGTAGGGATCTGTCCTGGGCCGTTCCGGAGAACATGGCCCCTTGGGAAAATCACCCTCCACTAGCTTATAGATTCCCCGCCCTCCGCCTAAAGATCGATTTTGGTGAATGGGGAAAGGGGGTGAGGTAATATCAAAATTCTGATCTCGAGTGCGACCCGTCCGGAGTAGGGTCCCCGCCTCGATGTCGGAGTCGTGGTGATAAAAGTTGGAGCTGGTAGAAGCAAAACTGTCGGTGGCAACGACTGCAACCGTGGATGTAGGCACAAAGGTCGGCGCCTGCTGGGTTGGAGGTGGGAGGTTGGAGATCAAAATCGAGATGTTGGAGGTCGGAGGTGGGTGTATCCGGTGTGGTATGTTTGCCCAGATCTGGCACTCGTAGTCGTAGGGGATGGGAAAAAAACGTTGAAGCGATCCTTCTTCTCGTGTTCGGGTCATGAGTGATTCGGATCTTCGGAGGCCGTTCGGGACAAGCCGAACACCCCAGAACTCCCTCGGCGAGGCGCAGCTGCTGGAACGCATCCCGAGGCCAGAAAACTGCCGAAAACCGACGAGATCGCCTGGACACCTCCTCCTCCTCGGAAATCTGCGGATTCGTTCCCCCACCTCGCTGCGGAACCGAACCTTCTCGAAGGAGTCGGAACGCATCCCGAGGACAGAAAAAAACGAGAACCGACGAGAACGCCCGGAAACCTCCTCCTGGAAATCCCCGGAGCTGTTCGGTACCCCCATCGACGCGCCGCCGAACCTTCTCGAAGGCGTCCAGCCTCGCGCTCAGGGCCAGCCTCGAGAGCGCCTGGCTGTGCAGGCGCCTCGCCGCGGCGGTCAGCAGCTCGGAGGCCCTGCCACGGCGGGCGGACTGCTCCGAGCTGCGCCGCTGCACCAGCGAGGCCGCCTTGTTAAAAGTGCGGGCGTAGAGGTCGTGGGCGTCGTCGCTGGCGAGGATCGCGAGGGCCTGCCGGGGGTCCCAAGTCGGCGCGGTGGCAGACCGCGCGGCGACCTAGGAGTCTCCAACGGCCTCACCGAGGGGCCCGTCACTGCACGGCCCCGGGAGGCCCTGGAGGCCACACTTGCCAGAAACAGCCTCGGAAAACGACCCAACTCCCCAAACCATGCGGCCACCCCGAACCCCCTCCTCCAACTCCTCCTCCTCCTCCTCCTCCTCCTCCTCCTCCTCCTCCTCCTCCTCCTCCTCCTCCTCCTCCTCCTCCTCCTCCTGCTCCTCCTCCTCCTCCTCCTCCTCCTCCTCCTCCTCCTCCTCCTCCTCCTCCTCCTCCTCGGCTCACCACACGGTGTGGTCACCGCGCCGGTTGAGGCGCCCACGAGCCTTGGACACGGCGGCCATCTCCGCAGCCCGAGTCTTCTGGCGTTCTTCCCACTCGGCGTCGGTCATGGAGCACTTCTCCTTCAGCAGCGCCAGGAACTTCTCGTCCGCGGCGAGCGCCTCATGGGTGTCCTCGAGGTCCTCCTTGGAGCCAGCCAGGCGCTCGTCGGTCTCCGCCTTCTCCTGCGTCTTCTTGTCGATCTGCGCCTGACCCGCCTCGATCTGCTCGTTTTTCGCAGCCTTCAGCTCGTCGTAAGCCTTCTGGTTGGCCATCTCGGCCTTCTGCGACTGCGACAGGTCTTTCTCGAAGGCAGACTTCATCTGCTCGAGGATCCCGAAGATCTCGCCCGACTGCGGGGCGTACGACTGCTTGAAGGTGGGCTCCGCGTCGAAGTAGTCCTCTGCAGGACAAGAAGCCGCCCGAGCACAAACTGTCGGAGCTCCGCGCGGAGCTCTTGGACAGGCGCTGGAACCCCCCTCCCCGGCGCGTGGAGCGCGCCGGGGGGGGGGGATCGCTGGAGGCGCCGCCAGGAGCTGGCGGCGCCCGCAAGCGTGTGGAGCGAGGGTGATGAGCTTCTGAGCAGGCGGCGGGGCTTCTGAGAAGGCAGGGGGGCTTCTCAGAAGCCCGCAGCCCGCCCGGCTTCTACGAAGCTTTCTCCGAAGCCTCCAGAGCATTACATAATGCCCCTGCCTTGTAAGAAGCCCCTCCACCTTCTCAAAAGACCCCTCCATCTTCTCCAAAAGGGGGACCCAGCGACGATCCAAGAACTCCGCGCGGACCTCCGAAAGATTTTCGGCCGATCGAAAACATATGTACGTGCACGCGCTCCGCGACCCCGCGTGCGCGAGCGACCGCCTTCTCGGGCGAGGGCCGGCAGAAGCTGACCGCGCACGTGTACAAATGCTGTCAGCGCGTGACTTATGCTCATGCAGGTGCTTCGCCTTTTTCTTGGGAAAATCCCAGATACCGAGACCGACACTTCCCAGGTCTCTCCCGGGATGCGTTCTGACAGAAAACTCGGGGGCGCGCAGACATGGATTAGCGATCCATGGATTTGGCGCGCGGTCGCCAAATCCATGGATCGGGGGAGGTGCCCTCCCCAAAATGCGGCCGCTCCCGCCTCGCTCGGCGGCGGAAATCCGCGATTTCCCCTGGCAACGGGACCCGCCGCTGATCCACGCCCCCTTGCTCCATGTCTGCGATCGCCTGAAAAACGAGGGGAGGGCAGGGACATCGGTACCTCGTCCCCCCCCCCAAGACGAATAACAGGTAAGCAGAAACAGAAATTCCTCGGAGGTCCGCGCTGAATTGTCCCATCAGCGCTGGACCCTCCCTGGCACGCAGAGCGCGCGCGGCGCCAGAGGCGCCGCCATGGGGGCCCAGCGCCGACCCAAGAAATCTGCGCGGAGCGCCACTGGTTGTTCCTCTCGCTTCCCCCCTCTCGCTTCCCCCCGGGGCTCCACGCCGAAGGGCGGCGAAAACGAGGGGAAGGGCAGCGGCATCGGGACAGGCGGGCTGCTGCGGCAAGGAGCACTACAGGAGGAACGAAGCACCAAAGTGGCTCCGAAAGCGCCAGCGTGGGCGAGGGCGCCAGAGAGACAGAAAGACCTAAGGAACCTTGAGCCCCCTCCGAACCTTAGCTGTTCCTTCTTCCAGCGTCTTGGCTGCACTTTCTCCTCCTCCCCCGATCCCTGGGTCCTGCGGGGACTGGATGAACGCCGCGGCCGCTCGGCGCTCTGAGCGGGTGAGTACGCCCTGCAAGCGGGCGCCGTGCCCGGCGAGCACCCGCTGCAGAGCGCTCGCCACGCCCGCCGCGCTGGCGCCAGGTGCCTGCAGGAGAGAAGCAGCGCCGCCGTGGTGCTTCGCGAGCACGGTGACGGCCGACTTGAGCGCCGTGATCGCCTCGCCGAGAGCAGAAAATGGGAAAGACGATTATCGGGTTGGGAGGAAGGGGCAGAAAAGATAGAGGGTTCGACCATGAAACAAGCACGATCAACATACTCGAAAATATGGACGATCCGCTGATCTCCCAACCCCAGCCCCCCAACCCAATAGTTGTCCTTCGTCATGCAGAGGAGGAGGTCCCGTCGCTGCGGCCGTGCAGCCTGCCCTGCAGGTGCGGGCGGCCTGAGCATCGTTCGACCGATCCCTGTGCCCACTGGCGTGGCCTTGGCCACACTGGCCGACTTACCCGCCTATTGGGGCCACGGTGAGGGCACTGGACAAGGAAACAGTGGATAAGGAACCCAGGGTCTGGAAGCTGGTAAAACTCCAATCGAGGCCTGGCCATGGATATCACCACCGCCCATGCCAGATAAGGAACCATCCAGGGTCTGGAGCCTCCTGGGCACATTCGTTAACGAACGCCCCCATCGTAAGCACCCCGACAAGCGAAGCCGCTTAATAAACGAACCCAGCGAATGAATCGAACAGGGCAGGGCTGTTCCGTAAACGCCTCGGGCCGTTTAGGAAACGCCAATGATGGGGGTCGGGGTGGTTGTTCCTCCCTTGACCTCGAGGAGCTCCTTTTCCTCGGCGTTGAAATCGGCCTGCTCACGCTCGCGAATCGACGTCGCCTTGTCGAGGGCGGCCTGGCGCATGCTTGAATGATGTACACAGCAACTTCATGACAGTGCACAGTGGTAAATATACTTCGTGTATTGTTTATACGTCCTCCTCCCTTCTAATATTTCCTATCCTGCATCTACCTCTTCTTCCTCCTATCCCTCAGCCCTTTCCTGCCCTGCCTCTGGCTCCTCTCCTCCTCTACCTCTTCGTCCTGCCCTCACCTTCCTGGGGGCGTGGTGCCAGCACCCTCGGGCGGCCTCCTTCCGTGGAGCTCCTCCAGGATCGCCCGTCTGATGGCGACGGATCTCTGGAGTGCCCTCACAATGGTGTGCGGCGCGCCTGTTCTGAGCAGCTGCTGCCTGCCCGCGGCCGTCCTGTCCGCGTGCTGGGACTTCGCCTCGTTCTCCTTGAGGCCCAAGACGAGCGACCATCTTCTCCACTCTACTGCAAGCAGCTCCTGCGCCGTGCCGGACGCCCACGACCTGCAGGTGTAGGACCGCCACCATAGCTATCATGGACCACGGGTCGCCTTGGGGCAACGACGTGCCCACCTCCTCCGGCCGCCGCAGTATTGCAAGCACCGGAGCTGTCCAGTCCACACCTGTACCAGGATAGCGGAACCCCCGCGCGGACATCCGAGAGTCCTCAGCACTTCAACTGCCAGCCTGGGATCTGTCTGATTGAAAGCCAATGTGTAGACGTAGGACGCAATGAAGCATCCAACGTGGTGCGAGTCAATGAGGCTCATGAGCGGCATGTACACCTCACCAGCACTGCGTCCACCCACGACCTCCTCCCTCCACCATTTCTTCTACCACGCGTGAGCGCTGGGTGACCGCAGCAGCACGCTGCCGAGCAGGCGCCTCCAGCAGCTCCATGGGCCGCAGCGCCTGCACGGCGATGTTTCCGTCCCTTTTTCTCCTTCCCTTGCCCTCCTTCGGGAGCATTACTTGCCGTGCCTTGCGCCACTCAGTGGGTACGCAGCCCTGGTCCAGCATGAAAAAGAAGACGTCAGCCAGGTGTGAGATCACAGCAGGGCAGTAGAGCGAAGCGAGCTCATCTCCATGCCAGCCATCAGCTCCCAGAGCGGATCCCCGCAGCCTCCCCATTACGCACCGCAGCTCCATGTGGCACACAAGTCGCCAGGACTCCTCCGACGCAGGCGGCAACGTGTCCTCGACCAGTCGCTGCCATTCCTCCTGTGGCGCGAGCTGGGGCCCCACACTTTCCTCCATTGCCACGCCAGCAGTGCGAGCGTTTCCTGCTCCATGGCGCTTTCCTCCTTAGCCTCGTTCTCCTCGCTCCTCGTCCTCCCTTCCTGCCCCTCGCCGTCCTTTTCCTCCGCGTGCACGCCCGTCGGTGGAATCGTGCGACCGCCTTCCACCCAGGCGCAGAATGCCCTGAGCGATCCTCGCAAGCGGTTGCGCCACCTTTCGATGCGGCCCTGCCCCCGCTGCTTCCGGAGCTCCTCCAGCTTCGCCTCGAACTCCTTCAACGTCACCAGCCGTGCTTCGTCAGCCCTTCGTGGATCTTCTCCTCGAGCTTTCGTCCTTCTGCGCCGTCCTCGCGGCCCTTCCCCCGCAGCCACCGCATGTACCTCATCCACCCTCACAGGTTGTCCAGCTGCTGGATGTGCGCCGACGTGCGTGGGTCGTCACATTCGCCAAACCGGTGGTACCGACAGGTCTGCTCCAAACCGGTGCTCCTAGTACCGGTGTCGAGGGCGGCCTGGCGCACACAGACGCTTAAAGAGTGCATGCTGCAACTTCACCCAGAGCACGTATGGCATGTGTGCTCTCTTCCTATCGTCCTCACTCATCCTCCTCCTCCTCCTCCTCCTCCTCCTCCTCCTCCTCATCATCATCGCTCCTCCTCGCTCCTCATCGCTCCTCATCGCTCCTCCTCCTCCTCCTCCTCCTCCTCCTCCTCCTCCTCCTCCTCCTCCTCCTCCGCCACTTCCTCCTCCTCCTCCTCCTCCTCCTCCTCCTCCTCCTCCTCCTCCTCCTCCTCCTCCTCCTCCTCCCTCTTTCTTTTCTTTCCCTAGGCCTAGATCAGAATCCTGATGGCCGCTCGCCTATCCTGTAAATGAGCTCTTCCACAGCTTTCGCGGCCTCCTCTAAGGCGAGCGCCTCGGCTGTAAAGGAAGAAATTGGGTCACTGATAAACGTCCCTGCAATGATGAAGAGAGTCGTGGTTTCTATCAAACCACGGCGCGTGACAGCCTCTACGCACCAGGCGGCTGCAGAACACGATGCCGCTCGAGTGCCTCCATCGCTGTGGATCAGAAAATTGGCCCCGCTCAGATCTACTGATTCAATCGGGAAGCTGTGATACCACGATTTCTTTTCATCCATTGTGTAGTTCACCAAGAAATCTGCTTTGATATTCCAATCGCGTTTGTGCCAAACAACCATGTCGTCCGCATCCTGCGCTGGCCTCCATCCGTATCCCATTACGTTGAACATGCTCTTGGTAATTCGATCAAACACCGGTCCGAGAGAAGGCGCTGCCAGCACGGTAGTTCCATTGACAACTCCGGCGAGAGGCTTGCAATCGGTGATGAAGAGTACTCGCCCGGCCATGCCGTCCCAATGCACGTCCGGTGCGCTATCGCCGTGTCCAGCCGGAAGCTCGTCCAAAGGATGCGTGGCTATCCTCCTCCGTTTTGGCGCGGTGTGGACCTGGCTCCTCCTCCCTCCCTCCCTCCCTCCCTCCCTCCCTCCCTCCCTCCCTCCCTCCCTCTCTCCCTCCCTCCCTCCCTCCCTCCCTCCCTCCCTCCCTACTGTCGTTTTCTCCTCTGCCTGGTGGGGGAGGCAAGCCTGAGCAAGCACGCTGCCAACTACATGCAGACGCACGCAGTGACATGCAAACGCAAAGTTGTGCAAGCCCGAGAGATGCACATCGCGATCATGCTGGTGCACGCACGGCTGGCTCCTGCCGCAACGACTTACGCGGTAATTCCTGGCACCACGAAGCTCGTTCAGTCCTGAATGGTCGCGGCTTTCCGATAGAGCAGGTCGCTGGATATCGGCCGATTCTGGGCCGCGGGCGACGTTGGACCTTGAACGCCCGCGCTGGGATCGCCGCCGCGTCAACGCGGCGCGATCCCACCGCATATATAATTTAGCTCCATTGAGTGCATGGGTCATTCATGATTCCTGCTCCCTGCGAGCTTTCGCCCCTCCACCTCATCCTCCTTGTCCTCTGTCTTTTTTTAGCGCGGCCTGGTTCTTGGCCACCTCGGCCTCAAGCTCGCGCATCTCGGACTCCAGCTTGACGCTGAGGGCGGCGTCCTCTTCGATCTTGGCCTCCAGCTGCGCGATGCGCTCCCCGGCCGCCTTGATGGACGCGGTCTTCTCCTTCTCGTTGGTCTCGCACCAGCATGCAAGTCGGTCGTAGATCTCCTCGTCCTTGTCCGCCTCCGACTCCAGCTGCTTCAGCATGTCCTCTGGCACGAGGGACACAAGGGCCCTGGCGGCAGTGGGCCCTGGCTCCCGCAGGGCTCTCCACATACTTGGGATCCCGGCTCGCTACTTGGGATCCCGGCTCGCTCTCGACGGCCCCGGAGTCTGGGGAGGTCCCCAACAGGCCCGCGACACCACGAGAAACCTGGAGGAGGAGGAGGAGGAGGAGGAGAAAAAGGAGGACAAGGAAGAGGAGGAGGAGGAGGAGGAGGAGGAGGAGGAGGAGGAGGAGGAGGAGGAGGAGAGAGGAAAGTGGGCACGGGGAGGAGGGAGGAGGAGGAGTGAGAGGGGAGGAGAAGGAGGAGGAGGAGGAGAAGGAGAAGGAAAAGGAGGAAGAGGAGGAAGAGGAGGAGGAGGAGGTGGAGGAGGGCGCCCCTCCTCGAGAGCCCCTGCTTCGTCCCGGCGGTTCCTGGGCGCGCGGGGACGCCCCGCGTCACAAATGTACCCCCCCCCCGGACCTGCCCGGGTGCGCGTCCTGGCCAGAACTCTGCGAAACTGGCGACGGAGAGGCCCAGCGGAGGCCCCAGCAGGGCGGAAGAATGACCCTGCGACGCGCCCGACAGATTTGCATCAAGTGACCAATGCTAGTGGCCCAAATTACTACGGATGGCGGCAACGCGGTAACCGTCATTCGTTGTGCAAAATGCGTGGGGTGAGCGCGCGTTGCACGACTCATACGGCAGCAGTAAAAGGACGAGGAGTGGGGCCCCAGGCTCGAAGAGGGAGGGGGCGGGAACGAGGGGCAAGGGCGATGGCGAGGTCTCATCGAATCAACATATGACGTCACTCCGATGGACCACACTGGGAACAGCGAAAGTGGCGACAGTTTAGCAAGTCGCAACAATAGCGACGGCTAGATTCAATCTGGTCTAAAGGAAACGTCACCCCGCTGGACCTCCTGGGAGCGCAGCGACAGTTTCGCATTTCGCAGGCCCCAGCGACGGCGAGGTCCCAATCTGATCCACATGATAAACACATTACTCCGCTGGACGCCGAAGGAGTCCTCAAGGAGTCCTCCGAACTGGCGACATCTTCTCAAGTCGCAGGCCCCAAAAAAAGGCTAGGTCTAGCCTTACTCCGCGTAGGACATCATCCGTTGGACCCCCAGCAGCCCTCGACAGTGGCAACATTCTCGCAGATCGCAGCCCCCCGAGGATGGTGAGGTCTAGCCTGAATCCGCGTAGGACATCATTCCGCTGGACCCCCCAGCAGCCCTCGAAAATGGCGACACTTTCGCAGCTCGCGGCTCCCAGGGACGGCGAGATAGAATCTGGATCTGCGGAGGCCGCCCACTAGCCCCCCAACGGCCCTCGAAAGTGGCAAATGTTTCGCACTTCGCATCCCCCAGAGATGGCGAGGTCGAATCTGGATCTGCGGAGGCCACTAGCCCCCCAGCAGCCCTCGAAAGTGGCAATAGCTTTGCAGTTCGCAGCCACACAAGAGATGGCCTGGTCGAATGTGCACCTGCCCACTCCATCCACTATGCTTCCCCCCTGGCAGCCCTTGAAAGTGGCGACAGACTCGCAGTTCGCAGCCCGCCAAGTATGGCGAGGTCTAATCTGGATCGGAAGCCACCCATTACGCTGCCACCCCCCCAAAAACATCCCTCGAAAGTGGCGATAGCTTCGCAGTTCGCAACCGCCCCAGGGATGGCGAGGCAAACCATGGATCTGCGGAGATCACCCACTATGCTGCCACCGCAAGCAGCCCTCGAATATGGCAACGGTTTCGCAATTCACGACCAACGAGGGATCAAGCAAGCAAGCAAAGAGCCGCGACCAGACGGCTCGAAATGTCCACAGGCATACATGGAAGTTGTCACTGAGCCTCGGCTGGCAACCACTTGCAAGCTTCGCGCAAATGGCGCGCGAGGGCGCGCAGCAACGCACCTTTTCAAGAGGAAGGGGGGCGGGGAGGAGAGAAGAGGGAGGAGGAAGGCGAAGGGGCAGAGCGAGGAAACTCATCGCAGCCACACTGAGTATTTACAGTATTGTTTGGCAGCTGCATCCCATTCCCTGGTCGAGGATGTCTCGAAAATCTGCTAGCGATCGGGGTCGTCTCTGACGACACTCAGCGCGCGGGCGTGCATGCGGCTGGCCCATTGCAAGCGCGGCATGCGTCGGTGCTTCCTGTATTAGAGAGTGCGCCTGACCTTGCTGGAAAACCATTGCTTTCGGCAGCGATTGCGAGGGCGTCCTTGCAAATTCCCCAATCAGAGCTTGCCTCTGTAGGGGTCCTAGCGGATTCATATGGTTAGGTTAGGTTTGTCGCCGATTTTCACTGCACGCCCGGGTGCCCAGGTGCCCGGGGGTGCCCTGGGCCCGGTGCCCGGGGGTGCCCGGGGGTGCCCGGGTGCCCGGGTGCCCGGGTGCCCCGTCGTGCCCGGGGGTGCCGGGGGGGGCCCGGGGGGGCCCTACAGCCCTATAGCCCTAAGCCCTATAGCCCTGTAGCCCAATAGCCAAATAGCCCTACAACTCTATAGCCCTATAGCTCTATAGCCCTATAGCCCCCTTGCCTTATAGCCCTGATTGGGGATTTTCTCCGATATCATGTACCATAGTATTTGAGCTCCCGTTCCAAGCTTGAAGATTGAGCTTCAAGCTGGACGCGCGAAATGCTGATCAGAGATAAGAATGCCAGCTGGATGTTCAATACTCTGCGAAAGCACTTGGCCTGCAATAGATCAAACAGTATGTTTGTCTGCTTGAAATACCACTACTATACAATAATTTGGAAAAGACGCAAGCCTGCAGCACTCGAAGCTTGTGCTGATGGGTCATGTTTGCGTGGTCCCAGACGGTACCCAAGTTGTCACATGCCCCTTCTCCTTCGGCCCACCAAGATAAACGACGTTGTCTTGGGATCCGATTCCTTCCCCACTCGGCCCCACGACCGCAGCATCCGACCTTGTCAATTTTACTGTGTTGCAAGCGTTCAGGTCGAGCCCAAAAAATGATCCCAATCTTTTACACGATATGCAAATGTCTCTGCTGTGACTCCGAACATGGCGCCATGAGCAACGCGTCGCCAGCGTAGAGCACGTCAGTGGTGACCACGCACGGCTCGTTCTTGAAGGCGCCCAGCCGCGCGCGGAATCCCTTGTCGACGGCCTCGAGGAGCACCGACATAACGATTACAAACAGGCAAGGAGATAGAGACAACCTTGCGCAATTCCAGCCCGTTGAGTCTTTTGCGAGGAAGTCGTTGCTTCATCTTTGACGACGAGCTTGCGCGCTTTGTAGATGGCAGCAAATCACGTTCAGCATTGCAGGCGGTACTCGGAAGTGGCGGAGTGCGAACAGTAGCCCCGCTGGTCGCCTGCGATCACGATTCCTTGGCCCAGCCCAGCAACAGCACGAAAAAAAAATCAGCCGCATCCGTGAGTCTTCGCGCCGGGAAAAAGACGTCGCGAGCGCCCCCGCCCGCGCTTGGTTTTCCGCCCCTCTGGCCTTGAGTCGCTGCAAAACAATACTGGCCAGAACTGCATAGCCCACAGCCAGCGAAAATATGGGCCTATAGTTGCATGGCTCGGAGATGTCGCCTTTCTGGACACTTTATATAACTGAAGCTTCACGCCAACGCGCTGACATGTCCTTCTGCCGACAGCAATCCTCGCAGACCTCTCTTAATATCTCTATAGCCGCGCTGTTCCTCCATAGCGCATGCCATAGATCTGGGGGCACTCCGTAATTCTCAACCGTTTTCAGCAACTTCGAATGCTTAACTGCCCGTCGCACCTGTTCCAAATTGATGATACCAACTTCGATGAGTGGAAAGCCTCTGTCCGCCGACTGCTTGGAAAACTCCTCTGCCGCATGGCATAATTTCGATTTTGCGTTTTCCAAAAAAATGTCATCGTTTCGGTTCCAACCTCTGCGTCAACTAGATTGCCCCGGGTACCCCGTCGACGCCCACGCTCCATCGGCCGCCCTTTCTGGAGCGACCCACGAGCTTGCCATCCGTCTTGCGTTATTGTTTCTTTCAACTAAGTGACCCTGTCGGCGCGCGCCGCAAGTTGCATATATTTGTTTGGCATATCATGGCTTCTGCCTCCGCCCCCGAATTGGTACGGCGGCTCCACTCTTCGATAAGATGTAGCGTTCTTGCTGAAGTCCATGACCGGTGCTTCTGCGCAAAGATGGTTTGCAGAACACGCTGTGCAGATCCCAGCACGCATGTAGCTTATGGGTTTGCCCTGGACCCCAAATCTGCACAAGGAGCGTTGCCTTCCCAGCTACGAACAAAAATCATATGCGCATGCATATGTGGTGCCCTTGTTCTGCAGCGTCGCCAGGTTGGTTTTGGCTGTTCTTGTTGAGCGTTCTCTTTTGGGGACGTCGGTGTCGAGGTCAAATATCTAAGCGAGTGATTCGACTGGAGCGCCTGCCATCGATCACTCCAGATAGCCACAACGCTGCTGAGCCAGTTTCGCTGAACTACGACATGGTCCACTTGTTCGAACCGACCTGGTTTTATTGGGTCTCTTGAATGGGTGCCCAGATCGCGGTAGGCTGCTTCAGCCTCGACTCGCACGTTGGAAACATTATTCGCAACACACGTTTCCAGGCTTGACGTTGGCTCACACTTCACTGCAATACTCTCAAAAATGTAGGGCCCAATAACCGTTCACTCTCTGGCATGTCGTTGCAGAAAGCTCGAGCTGAGATCGCCCAGCAGGACGGCTGGTCCATGAGATTTGTGTACGACGGCGAATGCCAATACATCAGACAACAACTCGTGGCGGATATCATACGGATGCTCGTTAATCCACGCGTGTACTGTAATCAACGTAACAATTCCGCCAGACGCCCAGAGTAGAATGCTGACCATTGTGTTGTCATGTTGTAGGTACCTTTCGACGGCGTGCCGCATCCGAGGTGCCAGCACGAATCCGACTCCTGCATAGTATGTGCTGGCGTGCTCCGTCCCAGACAGAATAAATAGTTATCCATCGTATTCAAAACTCTGGGAACCAAGGCAATGTGTCTCTTGATGACACAATACACCGATATTTGATTCTGACATAAGCAAAATTATCTCGCACAACTTGTGCGGCTTCTCTGGGCAGGTGCCTTCGACACTGCAGGAGGCAAGTCGTCCACACAGTACTGGCGATCATGGAAATGTTGCCCTATTGCCCGTACTAGTCGCATTTGTAGTGCCGATGCACCGCCGTATTTCCCAATGGTTGCCCTTCTTTCCATTGCCGCTGCCTTTAGCACGTTGGTGGGCCCCATTGGCGCGAACGGTTGGGTCAGCTATATTTGGGCTGTTTGTAATTTGTTTTACAAACGTAACCTGGTACATGACACACAGATTCTTTACCTACTGTGAGGCTCTGCTCAAGAATATCCACACGTACCTCACTTTTGGAATTAGCCAATTCCAAGCACGTCTTACGCAAGCCGAACAAGGAGCTTTCAGGGACTCTCCTTTCCAATCTTTGATATGGCGCATCCGAATTATCTTTCCCTGATGCTTCAATTGAGTTTTCCCCAGAATTGTGACGAATGTGTCCTTCTGGCTGTCAAACTTTGCGAAGAAAACCTGCTAGAACATAGCGCTTTTGATGAAGGTCCCATTACGCTCTGGAGCTCCGAGGCGAGGTTTCTGTTCATTGACCCATGCAAACGCGTCTCGTAAACTATCGATCTATTCGACCAATGACAGCATTCATTGCACTTATACTGCTTGTTCGTGGAGAGCTCCGCCATTTGGCGCTCAATCTCATTGCTTTTCGCCACCACTGGAAGCCAAACTGCGTGCGGAGCCTGTCGCAAAATCAACATCCCGACGGAGTGGAAGACACTCGAGAACGGCAACCCGTGCGGTAATGTCATCGACTGCCGTCTTCAAAGGCTCCACCACGTTCCGCAGGTCTTGTTGCGACACGCCGTGCTGCTTGATCGCACGAATATCGTCCTGGATGTGTTGACGTTGACCTCGCAATATTTGTTCAAATTGCCCAACAGATAGGCCATCAATGTCGTCACCCGATTGTGAGCCGGCGGTTGTGGCAAGGTCGTCATCGTCGAGTAGTTGTTGACGTACGGCTTGATGATCGCCCAGGCCATCCATCTCATCGAATAGACTGTGGATGCGATGTTGCTTTGCTCTATCCGCAGAGGCCTGCAAAACGTCCTTGACGGGGGTGTCGGCTCTGCGAGTTTGTTTTGTCGTAGGCGGAGGCGAAGTAGCATGTTCAAACTCTCCATCCCAAGTAAAGGGGAGCACGAGAAGCCATGATGTATGCAGTATCCACGGTGAGAGCGCAAAAAATGCGGCCCTGTAGGGGAACAGGAATGTAAGAGCAGTGGGAATGTAAGAGCAGTGGGAGTGTAAGTGTAGCTTGAGCCACCTGCCACACAGGCATGGCGAGGTAGAATCTGGGTCTGCGAAGGCCACCAACTATGCTGGCCACCCCCCCCTGCAGCCCTCGAAAGTGGCGACTGTTTCGCAGTTCGCGGCCTCCCAGGGACGGCGAGGTACAATCTGGATCAGCAGAGGCCACCCACTTGGCTGGACCCCCAACAGACCTCGAAAGTAGCGACGGTTTTACAGTTTACAGCCCCCCAGGGATGGCGAGGTCTGATCTGCAACTACGGAGGCCACCCACTATGCTGCCCCCCCAGCAGCCCTCGAAAGTGGCGACAGCTTCGCAGCTCGCAGCCCACTAGGGATCGCAGGCAGGTCGGAGACAGGTGGGAGGTAGGAGAAGCGAGGAGGAGAGAGGAGAGAGGCGGGAGAAAAAAGAAAAGCGTCCGCGCTGCTCGATCTCCAAAGCAAGAACCCAACAGAAGGCTGGGAAAAAGATCTCAGAGCTGGGTAGCCTTACAACTCAACACATTTCCTTCATGCTGGGTCCTTCAAGAGGGTGATGACTTTGGACACGGGCCGGTTCGGCCCGGCCTCGTCGAACCTCATTCGCAGGAGGCGTCCACACACCACCAACATGCCTGGCCAGGGCCATCCTTGGCCCCAGGATGCTGTACAGACCCTCCTGGTCTCTGCCAGGAGGGCGTATCCACCATGCCAGGGCCCAGGATTGGGAGAACAGGAAGATACCGATACCGCTACTCCCTGGACGTCTCCTGGGGCCCGCTCTGGCCAGGACTTCAGGGCGTATCCAGCCGTGGCGACGAAGGGTAACAGAATCGGTACACGTAGCTCCTCTGAAGGATGGCCCTCGGCAGACATGGTGGTGTTGACTGGGTGCCCTCTGCGAACCTCAGGGAGGACGTCGCCTGGTTCGCCGCACAGTGCACCAACGCGGCCTGAAGCGCGACCGAGGCGACGAGGACGCGCGCCATCTGCATTGCGAGGCTGGACCGACGGGGCGAGGGCAGTACCGAAGGCCGCTGCCACTTGATCTGCGCGGCGCAGAAGAAGCGGAACGTGAGCGTGCAGCAAGTTCACACTGCCAGGGCGCTGGCGTTGGTTTACCGACGCCGCGTGGTCCTCCTTGAAAGATCGTCGCGGCTTTCGAATACCGCAGGTCGCTCGGCGTTCCGCCTTGAACGCCCGCGCCGGCCGCCGCCGCGTCAACGCGCCACGGACCTGCCAAGCGAGGAGCAGAGCCCCCCTCCTGGCCCTGCGGCACCCACGTGCAGGAGTGCCGATCTCTCGGGCGCTTGATCGGCTTGGCTCCGTAGAGCGTTGCGTTGCCGCGCTGGCGTTTCCCCATGAGTGCTTGCACTGAAGAGGTCCTCGTGCATATTGTGAAGAACCTGGCCAAAAATACACTGCCGATTTCGGTGGGCGGCTAGACGCTGGGTCCCCGAGATTTCCCAATCAACGCTTGCATGGAAGGGATACTCGCGGATGTGGAAGGATTTGGTGAAAGTGCGCCGCCGATTTCGGTGGGCGGCCGGGTTCCCGGTATCCCAGGGGCGGCCTAGTTCCCAGGGCCTCGAGAGAGCAAACAGAGTAGAGAGTAGAGGGTAGAGGGCATAGTTAGCACAGAACAGAGCGCACGGAGCCTAGGTTGTTTGGTAGAGGGTAGAAGTGAAAAAAAGAAAGGGTAGAGAGCAGAGGGTGGATAGAGGGTGGAGGGTAGAGGGCAGTGAGAAAGGATAGTGGGTGGAGGGTAGAGGGTTGAGGGTTGAGGGTTGAGGGTAAGGTGTACACTTCAGAATTTACAGGTGAGCGTGCAAGGTACAAGGTAGAGGGAAACACGTGGGCTAACTCTAGGAGACCCCTTGGAGGCATGTGTGAACCCTTCTGCGCGACAGGTGGGCGGTCATGAGTCCCTGGCGGGGGCTTCCCGGAGCCTCAACGAAGCCCCACAAAGCTCCAAGAAACCACACGAGGGGCCCAAAAACCGGCTCAACACACATTCAATTTACATACAAGACAAGGCTCTTGTGTGTGTGTGACAAGTTGTTGGGCCGTCGTGGGGTCCTCTTGAAGCTCTCCCGAAGCCCCCGCGGAGCCCCTGGGAGGTCCCACCAAAAGCCACCGCGCAACTGTCTCGCTTCCCCACCTGGAGGTGCGGCACTCGCTGTCCCTCACCGACACCCGTCGACGCCACACTGTGCTTACACGCTGCGCTTGAACAGCTGAACGGATCTTCACGAATGTGGCATCCTCAGATCTCGAGCTGCCTCGGGCGAGTCTCCGTGACCCTGTGAGACTCCGCAGGCGGCAGCCGTGAAAGCACACACGCTACGCCAATGTGTGGCGTCGCCGAAGGCGGGCGGCAGCACCCGTGCGGCGGGCTCGTGCCGCGACGACCTCGGCGTCGGCCTCCGACACCGCGGGGATCGCTGCACCTCGCACGAGCGGCTGCTGCTCGATCGCCAGGCCGTTGCGGATCTTGGAGGCCTACAAATGGGCACCAACACCAACACAGGGGGGGGCCTCCACGGGGGGGAAGATGATCCTGGATTTCGGGGCTGGTGGTAAGATTTCGGCCACCTCGGAAGCCAGAATACTACCACCACCACCGAGATCTAGGATCTCCTTCCCTCGATGGAGGCACACCGAAGAGATTGGTGTTGGTGTCAACCCCTAGGCCTGCGAAGATCGGCCGGGGTCTGAGCCACCAGCGGCGCTGAAACCCGGAGCGCCCGCGGCGGGGTCGCAGCCGCGTCGGCACGACATCCCGGCTGCCATACCCACAGATCCTCCGATGTGATTTCGGCTCACACCCTGCGAAATGCTTAAGAAATCATGGGCTCAGAAATTCATTGCCTCAGAATGTGAATAAAAACCTAAGAATAGTCTTAGGATTTACATTGAAACATAAAGAATAATCGAGACTCTGGCCGAAAACGTAAGTTTTCTTCAGCATCGCCTAGGGTGTACCGATGATTGCCCGATCTCGGGGAAGGGTGAGGACTGCAACGCCGAGCCTCCCCCGGCCCAGACCCCCCTGCTACGGTGAGGGCAGTGGATACAGGAACCCTGGGATAAAGAAGCCAGGTCTGAGAGCCAGTGGAAATCCGCGGCAGGCTTGGTCGCCGACACCACCATCGCCCTCATCAGACAAGGAATCCTCCAGAGTCTATAGTCTCCTGGGCACATTCCTTGACCAACGTCCCCCCGGTGTGCTTCTCCAGCCTGCGGCCCCCGGAGCTCCCCTCCCCAGGCCCTGCAGCCCGGACCCATGCCTGTACAAGCGCGTTCCACAACCCGCAGAGCAACTCCTCGCAAACGGCTCGGATTCGCCGCGAGGGATCGACGATTAGATCGGGCATGTCCTCCTACAAGGGGTCTTGGGACGAAAAACTAAACACAGTCAGAAAATATTCAATTATTCACTGCGTGGAGCTCCCCATATGTGCATCTACTCGCATGGACCTGTCCGCCGTGAATGTCTAGGCGCAAGAGCTTTCGAATATTAACGGGCTTCAGTTGTGACGGTCTGGACATCAATCTAACTGCGAATGAATTGGAGTGTGAATGAGCCTCAGTAGTACAAGCGCGTCTCTGTGCATGAGCCTGGGGCCTCCTGGGGCCTCCTGAAACCTACTGGGGCTTCCTGGGGTCTCCAGGAGCCTCTTGGGACCTCCTGGGACCTCCTAGGAAGGTTTCGTGCCCCAGGAGAGGCGCAATCTATAGCAACAGACGTACATAAAACATTGCGGATTAGAGCCACAGGAGAAGGGCAATCTATAGGAACACGCGTAAAACACCAAGGACTCGTGCCCCAGGAGAGGCCCAATACATAGGAACATGAGTAAAACATTTAGGATTGTGTACACAGGAGAAGGACCATCTATAGAAACATACGTAGAACATCAAAGAATCGTGCTCCAGGTGAGGCCCAATCGATAGGAGCATACGTAAAACACATGGGATTGGAGCCACTCCTGTTGCCTTCTGAGGCCTCCTGCTCCTGGGGCCTCTCGGGGCCTCCTGTTGCCTTCCGAGGCCTCCTGGCGCTTCCTGTTGCCTCCTGGGGCCTCCTGTGGTTTCCTGAGGCCTTCTGGAGCTTCCTGGGGCCTCCTGGAGCCTCTTGGGACATCCTGTGGCCTCTTGAGTTTTTCTGTGGCCTCCTGATGCCTCCTGGGACCTCATGTGGTCTCCTGGGGCCTCCTGGAGCCTGTTGGAGCCTCCTGTGGCATCCTGAGAAGAATCTGCGCCCACGAGCCTGGCCACCAAAACAAGCAAACCGATCGAGACATCCTCAAAATCTGGCCCACCTGGGGGGGGAAAATGAGCGCCTCGCTCGAGACATCCTCCAAATCTGCTCCGAAAGCGAAGGATGTTGGGCCCAGAAACAAGCAAACCGCCTGAGACATCCCCACAAAATGGCCGCGAACGAGCCCGTGCAACCACCCCTGGCGGCTCCCCTTAGGGCCACGAGCCTGGCCACGAAAACAAGCAAACCGATCGAGACATCCTCAAAATCTGGCCCACCTGGGGGGTGAAAATGAGCGCCTGCTCGAGACATCCTCCAAATCTGCTCCGAATGCGAAGGATGTTGGGCCCAGAAACAAGCAAACCGCTTGAGACATCCCCACAAAATGGCCGCGAACGAGCCCGTGCAAACACCCCTGGCGGCTCCCCTTAGGGCCACGAGCCTGGCCACCAAAACAAGCAAACCGATCGAGACATCCTCAAAATCTGGCCCACCTGGGGGTGAAAATGAGCGCCTCGCTCGAGACATCCTCCAAATCTGCTCCGAAAGCGAAGGATGTTGGGCCCAGAAACAAGCAAACCGCCTGAGACATCCCCACAAAATGGCCGCGAACGAGCCCGTGCAACCACCCCTGGCGGCTCCCCTTAGGGGTGCTGAAACCAGCGCCCCGCCTGAGACATCCTCACAATCTGCTCTCCAAGCGAAGGATGTTGGGCCCAGAAACAAGCAAACCGCCTGAGACATCCCCACAAAATGGCCGCGAACGAGCCCGTGCAAACACCCCTGGCGGCTCCCCTTAGGGGTGCTGAAACCAGCGCCCCGCCTGAGACATCCTCACAATCTGCTCTCCAAGCGAAGTCTGAGTATGACTAATACTGTGTATGAGTCTGGGTATGAGTAGTCTGTGTATGAGTAATACTGTGTATGAGTAAGTCTGGGTATGAGTAAGTCTGTGTATGAGTACGTCTGGGTGTGAGTAAGTCTGTGTATGAGTAAGTCTGTGTATGAGTATGTCTGAGTGTGAGTAAGTCTGAGTATGAGTAGGTCTGAGTATGAGTAAGTCTGAGTATGAGTAAGTCTGAGTATGAGTAGGTCTGAGTATGAGGAAAGAGGAGGAGGGGAGGAGGAAAGAGGAGGAGGGAGAAGGAGTAGGAGGCGTCCAAGAAATAACAAGAACCCCATCTTAGGATATGGGGAATCATATATTATAAGTCCCCATACGATTTAGCTACTATGTTTGAATACTTCTCTTGTAGAGGGATGCGTCTTCCGACTTAAATCTACGATGCAGTACGTAGAAGAAGACCTCTTTTTTGTTCGGACGTTTGCGAGCACGCCGCACTCTGCGAGTAGTGGCACGCGCCCGGTGACTGCCGCAGGGCCCTGGTGCCAGAAAGCGCGGGCCGAGGCCAGGGGCAAAACAACGCCGCGAAGAGTGTGAGCTTTTCGTCGGCGGCGAGGCAGAGGCAGTCCGCTCCAGCGTGAGAGGAATCGGGGCAACCGACATGCGAGCGAGCAGCACACCACGTCGGCGGAGGTCTGGGTGCTGGCCGGCCCGCCCACACCCGTCGCTCCTCCCCCCTTGGAGGCCTCCCGACATGGGGCCCAAGCAGACGGGGTCGGAGCATCGCGCCGCATCTCCGACGCACCGCTAGCGCCACGGCGACGTCGGCGGTGCGTCGGCGCCGCAGGCGTGGAGAAGCTCGGGCTCCATACCGGGCCCCATCGCTGATGCATCGGCGATGCGGCGCGATCCTCCGACCCCTCGGGCCCGCTCGTCGTCCCGTTTTCGGGTCACAACTCTGGTCTGTGGCGGCTGGTCGGGACGATCCCGGAACCCCCGGAACGCTCTCGACGAGATGCAGCCGACGGAAACCACCCCAAAACTGGAAAGCTTCCCAAAAACGGTCCCAAAGTCTTGGCACTTCCGGGGGCACTGCCTGGGGCCCCATTGGCAAGGCCTGGATGAGGCCCTCGCCCCGTCTCCTCGCCCCGCGCGTCCCGTCCATCCACCCCTGTCCTGCCTCCACGGCCCCACGGCCGTGCACTGGGCGCCCTTCCCCTGGGGCCCCGCCTTGTGCTTGTCGTCGGCGGACATCCGGCCGAGGGTTCCCTGGGCCTCGAAGGGCATGGGCCGCCGACGCCGCCGCCGCCGTCGTCGTCGTCAGGGGGAGGAGAGGGAGGAGGAGGAGAAGGAGAAGGAGGGGGCCGCGGTGGAGGGACAGACAGGGGAGAAAAAGCATGAGGAAAAGGAGTAAGCAGAGTGCAGGGAGGGGGGAAGAGGAGGAGGAGGAGGAGGAGGCGGAGGAGGAGGAGGAGGAGGAGGAACGGGAGGAGGAAGAGGAGGAGGAGGAGGAGAAGGAAGAAGAAGAAGAATTAGAAGAAGAAGAAGACGAAGAAAAAGAAGAACGAAGAATGTCAGCAGGAATAACAGAATAGGGGCGAGCAGACAAATGGAGAGCAGGAGGGGACGGAGAGAAAGAGGAGGACGAGGAGGACGAGGAGTGGGAGAAGGAGGAGACACAGGAGCGGAAAGGCAGCGGGGCCTCTCTCCATCCTCCTCTTCCTCCTCCTCCTCCTCCCTCCTCCTCCTCCTCCTCCTCCTCCTCCTCCTCCTCCTCATCTCTCATCATCATCATCATCATCATCATCATCATCATCATCATCATCATCATCATCATCATCATCATCACCCTCTTTCTCCTCCTCGTCTCCTCCTCCTCCTCCTCATCCTCCTCCTCCTCCCGTTCCTCCGCCTCCTCCTCCTCCAACTCCTCTCCTCCTCCTCCTCCCTTTTCCTCCTCCTCCTTTTCCTCCTCCTCCTCCTCCTCCTCCTCCTCCGCCGCCTCCTCCTCCTCTTCCTCCTCCTCCTCCTCCTCTTCAGTATCCTAGTTATCCTCCTCTACTGAAATTTGCTGTGCCAATGCGGCTGAAGTCGATGACGCCCAGCATCCGCTGACATCCATCCCCTTCAAGGGAGGCTGGCAAACAAGAATCATGATAATAATAACAACATCAATAACAACAATGATAAGATGATGAATGCATACTAATAACAATAATAAGCATCATCATGATAGTAAAAATAATAATCATAATAATACTGAGAATAATGGCCACCATCATAATAGTAATGATAACCATCCTGATAATAATGATAATGATAAGAATGATGATGGTAAAAATAACAACAACATTAAATATAATATTAAAATAATAACAGTACGAATAGTAATGCAACCTAGCAATACTGATAATAATAGTCATAATAGTAGTAGTAGTAGTAGTAGTAGTAGTAGTAGTAGTAGTAAAAGTAGTAGTAGTAGTAGTAGTAGTAGTAAGAAAATTGATCATAGTAAAAAATAGTGGTGATGATGATGATGATGATGATGAGGAGGATGATGATGATGATAACGATGATACTAATAATGAAAATAAGAACGAAAGATAATACACACTGGCTCCAGCCAGCTTCGCGCTCCAGTCAGATACTGCTGTAAGACCTAGACCGCAGCGAAATGCGAGCTGCTGCTCCGCTCATTTCTCATAAAACTCTCGCCGCCATCCAAGCTCCACCGTGTCCCCTAACCCCCCATCAAGAAGTCTGACAGGAGATCCGCTAGAAGGGGCAGCAAACTTGAGGTCAAAAGGACCGGCTGTGCGCGGCCCACCTGCCGTCCACTCCCTGTATTGGGGTGCCCAGCCAAGGAAATAGCGCTGAACCATCCTTGAGTTTGGGCGTCGAAGGGTCTCAGAGAGGGGCGGTTTGGGGCAACCCTTTCACAAATAATTGATGCCGCCCCAGCTGCACGCACCACAGGAGATGCAAAACGAAACCATGGAGCCACGAACGCACCTCCTGCCGTCTCTCTCGAAGACAGCCGACTTCATGACTGCATGCCGTGTGAGGCCAATGAGAACCTCTAAATCGGACTGAGACTCCAGAGGCAGGGCGAACGCTTGCCGACCCACTTTGAAGCGCTGCAAACACCTCCAAATCCTCAGAATCCCGAACCCCCCACGGTGGCCATCATGACTTCCTGCTCGGCAGCGCAACGGGCCGTCTCCCGAGTCGCCTGGGCGAAGACACGCGCTGCGGAGATCGTTCGGTCGGTGCTGGGACGGCATGCCGCCCCCATCTTGGCATGCGTGTCCGCAAAGTCCGATCCAAACTTGGCGAATGTGGAAGTCCTGCCCACTTCCACGTCCGCACCCAAGCAGTGGGCCTGCACTTTGGTCACAGTCGGACTGGCTCCATCAGAGGCATGGAAAAACCCGGACCAGGGGCGGCATCGGCAGCAGCTCGAGCCCCACGCAAGCGGCGGGCACCGCAGCGCCCCCAACGCACAGCCGCAGTCAACCGAAAAGAAGACGTCCAGGGCATTTACTGCCCCACAGGTCGCCATGGAAAGGGCGTAGTCCTCTCCGTCTCCGGCCGATTGCGCGGGGGCGACTTCGCATGGCACAGCCACGCAGCTGGCCACCATGGAGTGTCCACCCTCTGCCACCATGACTGGGGCCCAGCCCACTCGGGCCATCAGGGGGCCCGCGGGGCCCGGACAGGAGCCGCCCGAGGCAACCGGCCCGCGCAGGATCCCATCCTCGCGCCGGCTGGCCCAGCGGATCCTCGCCTGGGTCTGGGGGGGAGGGGGAGCCAGCTCGAGGGGGGGAGGGGAGGCGCCTGCTCTCTCCAGGCCCGGGTGCCAAGCCTGAAACTGCTTGGCAGCCCTCAGAGGTTCTGCGCTGCACGCTGCGGCGCGCCCCCCAGGCATGTCCGGGCAAACAAGCCGACGGCGCCACGACGCGCCGGGCTGGCCCTCGCAAAGTTTTCAGAGCCAGCCCGCGGCAAGCCCATGTTCGCAGACACGATCCTGAGACCAGGGGCCCTGTGAGACAAGGCTGCGCAACGACCCCTGATGGCGGTTGGTCCAGCGGGCCTTCAGAGGCCCGTCCAGAATCTCCAGGAGAGGCCCAGAAAAACAAGACGTACCCAGACCACCGACACATCGCGAGCCCTGAGGGCCGTCACGTCTGAAACGCCTGGCGCCGCCTTTTGAACAAGCAAGGACACTTGTCCTGGAGCCAACGCAAACAAATCCAGCACCTTGCCGTCTCCTGATATCAAGCTGCGCGCACTCTGGATCTGCCACTCAATAGCACGAGTGGTCGGGCAAGACATGCAAGGGGGCGATCGGACGACCTGCCACTTATTATTGCGCCGACGGAGCTCGGCCCGGGCCCCGCCCAAGGCTCGCGGCACTTTGGCCAGCAATGGCCGACCATCCCAAATAGACTGGGCCCAAGCAAGGACCGCGCCTTTATGGCAGAGGTCTGCGGGGCCCACACGATGGCCAACCTCGGAACTGCACAGGCGGAGCCCTGGGGACGCAATGCCCTTGGACCTGTGGGGTGACCTCAGAGCAGCAACGCCCAGCCTATGCAGTCGACGCCCCGCGAGTCCCCCCACTGCGGCCCCCAGACTGCACATGCCCGCGGCCAAGCACGCTGGGCTCGATGCACGACGGCCCCACCGCCGCACATTTGCCGAGGCTCCCAGCTCCTACGAGCTCCTGTCCTGACACGGGTGGCTTGAGAAGTGGCCCCTCCCATGCCTCCCCCTGCGTTGAAGGTAGATCCAAGACTCGATGGTTTTCTTGGCCTGGAATCCCAGGTAGTCCCATCTCTTCCTCAGGGCGATGTCGAAGGCTCTCACGGGGGCCAAAGTGGGCCTTGGAAGTCTCCAACACCAGCTCCAGTTTGGCACGCCCGTCAACCAGTGTGGTACAAACCTGCCCCAGCTCAAGAAAGATGGCGTCGGCCTTGCACAGTCATTGCGCGTGAACGTAATCTTCCACACTCCTGATCTCCACCTCTGGGCGGCCCTGAGCAAGGCCCCGAAGCAATCCAGAGAAGGTAACTGCAACCGAGGCAGTGGCCAGAGAGCAGTCTGCAATAATAGCCCCCACAGCTCTGAAGGCCTCGCTGACCCCAGCGTGGAGACTGAGGACCCTTGGCCCCGAGCGCAGAGTGCAGCAAGCAAGCGCGAGACGGCAGTTGAATCCTGCGGCCTACCTCTCCCGCATGAGGACGCAATCGGACAATCTCCCGCGTAATTTCCCAAGTTGCTGAAAAGGGTCGCCGACTCGAAATGGTTGAGCTTCGCAAAGTCACTGTCAAACCCGTGCTCCCACCCAGCCCCGTCGCACGCGCGTCCTGTCGTGACAGACAAAAAGGGCACGTCACGTTGCATATCCCGATCTCGAACAATGCACTGGTGCAGACACGCCCATAATCGAAAAAAGCTCGCAATGAGGGCGGAGGGGAGGAGTCCTGGGCCTTCTGTTTATGCCACGAGTACTATGATGTGGTAGGCCACTTCTCAGGTACATCCAGGTCTCTTTCCCCAACAGCCAATACGTCGCAAAGCCGACTTAAAAAGATCTCGGACGAGGGAAGTCAACTTCTGGGGATTATCGCTATCGGCGCCCCAAGGCGGCCTCGTGTCTGAATTTCTTGAGGGCTGTCCTCAGCGGTTCAACCGATGGTTGGGCCAACGTCTCCCTCGAAGCCTCGTTGAACTGGGCCTCCATCATGCTTGATTCTTCGTCATGCCAGGATGCACTCCACAAAGTCATGAGTTGTTGATCTGCTCTATCCACTGGCAAAGGAAGGAGGTGCTAGCCCACCAGCGGGAAGAGGGGCGCAGCCTCCTTCCGGTACCCGCGGGCACCAGTGGAGAGAGGGGGGCGGCCTCCTTCATATACCCGAGGGCCGCCTTGCTGCCTCCCGAAATAGCATCTCGAGCCCACGCTGGCCAGCGTTGCCAGCGGAGTCGGGCCTGCTCTTGTGAAACGCGCACTGCCACTCAACCGGTGGCCTGGACGATGGCATCTAGCTCGTCACCGCCTGGGGTTGCAGCATGTAGAACAGCGGGCACATGTCTAACGGCTTGAAGATCGGGCCCAGGGTGATCGGATCTGGCTGCTGGACGGTCCTAAAGAATAGAGCATTCCAGAACTCCGGAAGTTGGTCCCCACCCAGAGACTCTGGACCTTGTGCGTGAGACTCTGCATGGTCTTCCAAACCCTGGCCGAAGGAGACGCCCCCTCCCCGCACCGT